GAGATAAGATTAGATACATATTATAAGTGTATAATAGAATTATCTTATTTTTTCATGAGTATTAAAACTGGGCATGATAAAATAAGTTGATTTTATACTTATTTCGTAGTAACTGTGTATTAGTGTCCCGACGTTGTCACGTTGTTTAATACTTTAACAGCTCTAATTGTGTTCTATATATTTAATAGTTTAATACTTATTTCTATTCATTGTTCTCTTTAGGTATTTTTTTAAGATTAATAATCATTGCTAGGATATTACGTGAGAAAATATATTTAGTCGACCATTTTACTAATGAAATAACTGGAAGCAAATTACCGTCCAATATTCAAGAATTAAGAACATTATTTTTCAATCTACGCATTGGAAAACTTAACTCTTAACTTTAACGAGTAAGAATATTATTGATGGACTTTCTGTGATTATTTCGAGTGAAAATGTAGAGAAAATCGTTGCAATACCAGACTTAGAATGTGTTACAGGAAAAGAGCAAAATTTTAATTTGAATATTCGATAATCGATAAAAGTATTAATTTCGATAAAACTGCGGTAAACACTGGTCGACTAATTGGTACATGCATATTATTGGAACATTTTATGGAAAAAAATTTACTATTTTACCATGCCGTCATCACATTTTTGAAATTTTTCTTCGTAGTGTTTTTGACGAAAAAAAGGGGAAGTCGGTAGGTTCCGATGTACCCATTTTCAAAATATTCCAAAAAGAGTGGAATATTATCGACAAATCGAAATTTAAATCAGGTATTGAAAATAAAAAAGTAAATGTAATCCTCAAACCTTATATTACCCATATCGTTTCTTTTGCCCAATCAAAACTGACTGAAAATCAACCACGTGTTGACAATAGAGAGTTACTAGAACTTACATTGTTTTCCTTGGTCACGGTGCTACCCAATCTTTTCGTTTATCAGGAGCTATTTACCACGTAAAGTGGATGGCTAAGGAAATATATTGTCCAAAATTATATTTATTTCGCTAGTTTTAATTAACCAAAAGAGAAGAGTAAGGGCTATGTGATATTTCAATATTCTTGATCGTTGCATAAATTGAAGCATGGTTTAATGCAACGTTAGCTTCGACCGCATCCTATATTGATCTAAATTTTATTAAAAAACTTTATAACTATAAAAAAATTGATAAATAAAATCAATTAATACTGCAAGTGGTCAGTGACTATCGTAACCTTTATCTAGACTGCAAAATATAATAATTTTAAAAAACCATTCTAATTGTTTAAATAAGATTGTTCAAATGTTTGTAAGTAGTTAATAATAATTTATTTGATGTATTTTAAAATATATAAGTATAAATTGTATTAAAATATGTTTTATTTTTATATTTATTAGGATATAACCATATTTTTATTATGTATTTAATGGCAAACTACCGTTTTTTAAACAACATTTTTACAATATTTAATAAATCTGACCCAAACAATGCAACGATGGATCCAATGAACATTTCACATATAACCTTTTTAGTAAAACATTTGATTTCAAATAATTTTTATTGAAACATATTTTTAATAATTTTATTCCTTCACCAAATAAATGTAAATAACTACAAATTATCAATTTGGTAACAAAAATTTATAATGTGATACTTTATTATTTTTTTCGATAATAATAGATTTACGATAGGAAAATATACTTATACTTTTTATTGAACATTCCTTCTTTCTACAATTTAGATTCCATACATTTTTTCGCTAAGTTTCATATTTATTTGTTAAGTCGAAACATGATAAAACTACCCTTGTTTGCTATTATTTAACCCACCCAGGGTCATAGGGAGAAAGTGAGTAGTCACGACCTAAATAAGCCAAATGTATTTTCTTTTAAAACTGAAAAAAGTGAGGGGAACCTACATCAAAAATTTCAGTTCATCAAAAGTTCATAAATAATGACCACCCTATTAAAAGATGCAAATAAAATAAATTTTTATCAAATAAATATAATAACTACATGAAACATGTATTCCTTACATTTGAAATGTTTAATTGTGGGTTAAAACCGAAATTTTATTTAATTATTGAATATGAATTATAAAATCCTTTGAAATGTCTTAAATATTATTACATATTGTATACATTTATTTTGAAAATTAAATCAATAATCATAATTCAACGAAAAAAAAAATTCGCGTCAAAATCTGCCGTGCGCCCAACTGCCGTGCGTTAAAATTACCGCACCGATACGACGGGAGACCGAAACGCCGACCTTCGATGTCCGTAACATACGCTCAAGCTTGGATATGGAAAAACGTCATCAAGTATAAAGAATTTCGAGAACCATGGTTACCGGAAAAACTAAATGGACTACCGGTTTGGAATAAGAAAATTGTCCAATATAGAAGCGCTGACGACGTTCCTCGCGGCCTCCGATTGATCCGTCGCCCCAATCCGCAGGAGCGATCCGAGCGGACA